GTGAATCCAAATGAGCATTGCAAGTCCATAATAACAAGAAGTGGGCTTGTGCTTCTACCGGTGAACAAGAAAGTGGATGAGAAGAAAGTGGAAGAAAAGAAAAGTGAGGAGGAAGTTGTTGTTGAGGATGTTGTAGTTGAAAATAATGATAAAAAAGATAGAGTTGAGGAAAAGGAGAAAGAAGAAGAGGTATTGGTTGACAAGAGTTCTTCACCCCAGAAGTTGATAAAGTGGGAGAAGAAGAAGATAGCTGACAAGTAGGACCAGCCAATCAACCTATCTCCATATGCTAAAGTGCATTACCCTCAACGGTTGAAGCAGGAAATCCAGAAGCAGCACTATGCAAGGTTTCTGAATATTTTCAAGAAGTTACAGATTAACATTCCATTTGCTGAGGCCTTGGAGAATATGCCTCACTATGCCAAGTTCATGAAAGATCTTCTGTCTACGAAGAGGAAATTGAAGAATGGTGAGACAGTGGCCTTAACAGAAGAGTGTAGTGCCCTGATCCAGAAGAAGCTTCCACCAAAATTAAAAGATCCAGGAAGTTTCAGCATCCCTATTGCCATTGGAGATGTGGAAGTAGGGAAAACACTCTGTGACTTGGGGGCCAGCATTAACTTGATGCCATTGACTGTATGTAGAGGTATGGGAATCAACACCTTGAAGGATACCAATCTTATTCTGCATCTTGCAGACAGATCCATCAAGAGACCGGAAGGTGTGGTTGAAGATGTTCTGGTTAAGGTGGGTAAGTTCATTTTTCCAGTGGACTTTGTGATTCTAGATATGGAGGAAGAAGATACTGAAAGCCCTATACTTCTATGGAGGCCATTCTTAGCAACTGCTAGATCCCTGATTGATGTTGAACAAAGGAAGCTAATGCTAAGGGTGAATGAAGAGACAGTTACAATTGATGTGTTTGAAGCCATTAAACATCCTGTTGATGTGGAGGATTGTTTCAGGATAGATATCATACAAGAGGTTGTGGAGGAAGTGAAAGGAGAAGAAGACCTGTTGTTAGAGGAAGATAAAAGTAAGGATGAGATGAATGGGGAATTTTATCAGGAGGAACTAGTAGTTGAAGAGCTTGAAAAGAAGGTGGATGACATTCCTAAGGGAGCACGTAAGGTGGATCTGAAAGAACTACCTTCTATTCTGAAGTATGTGTTCCTTGGGGATGATCAAACATACCCAGCCATTATAAATGCATTCTTGTCTGAAAGGGAGGAAGTGAAGTTGGTCGAAGTACTCAAGAAGAATAAGACAGCCATGGGCTGGTCATTTTCAGATCTTAAGGGTATCAACCCTTCCTTCTGCACTTACAAGATATTGATAGAGGAAGAAGTCAAACCACTAAGGCAACCACCAAGAAGACTTAATCCCACTCTGAAGGAGGTAGTAAGGAAAGAGGTGGTGAAGTTGCTTGATGCTGGGATGATTTATCCTATTTCAGATAGTGCATGGGTGAGTCCAGTTCAAACAGTGCCCAAGAAAGGAGGGATGACTGTGGTTAGGAATGAGAACAATGAACTGATCCCTACAAGAACAGTCACTGGCTGGAGGATGTGTGTTGACTACAGGAGACTCAATAAAGCAACCAGGAAGGACCATTTCCCTATTCCATTCCTGGACCAGATACTGGAAAGATTGGCAGGACATGCTTTCTATTTTTTTCTGGATGGATACTCGGGCTACAACCAGATAGCTGTGGCTCCGGAAGATTAGGAGAAGACTGCATTCACTTGCCCCTATGGAATCTTTGCATACCGGAGGATGCCTTTTGGCCTATGCAATACACCAACAACTTTTCAAAGGTGCATGCTTTCCATATTCTCTGACATGGTAGAAAGGTGTATTGAGATTTTCATGGATGATTTTTCTGTGTTTGGTCCTACTTTTGTTGCATGTTTAGAAAACTTGGATAATGTTTTGAAAAGATGCCAAGATTGCAATCTTGTGCTAAATTGGGAGAAATGTCACTTCATGGTGACAGAGGGTATTGTTTTGGGACACAAAGTGTCCAACAAAGGGATTGAAGTAGATAAGGCCAAGATCTCTGTTATTGAGAAACTACCCCCTCCCATAAATGTTAAGGGTGTGAGGAGTTTTCTAGGACATGCTGGTTTTTACAGTCGTTTTATTAAAGATTTTTCAAAAATTGCAAAACCATTGTGCAAGCTGTTAGGAAAAGATCAAGAATTTATGTTTACTGATGACTGCTTGCATGCATTTAATGTGTTGAAAGACAAGTTGATCACTGCACCTATAATCATGGCACCTGATTTTTCATTACCATTTGAACTTATGTGTGATGCCAGTGATTATGTTGTAGGGGTAGTCTTAGGCCAAAGGAAGGATAAACTATTGCATGTCATTTACTATGCCAGTAAAATTCTTAATGAAGCACAAAAGAATTATGCTACTACAGAGAAAGAGTTATTGGCAATAGTGTATGCATTTGACAAATTCAGGTCATATCTGCTAGGGTCCAAAGTTATTGTTTACACTGACCATGCAGCTTTGAAGTATTTGTTAACAAAGCAGGACGCTAAGCCCAGGTTACTCTGATGGATGTTACTTCTGCAAGAGTTTGAAGTAGAGATCAAAGACAAAAAGGGAGTGGAGAACTTGGTGGCTGATCACTTATCCAGGATCACAGAGACACATTTACAAGAGGGTCCAGAGGTGGTGATCAAGGAAGAGTTCCCTGATGAGCGAATACTGGCCATAAGCATTGTTTCCCAATTGGTGCATGATCAAGTCTTGTCTGTTGACACCCCACCATGGTTTGCTGATTTTGCTAACTACAGAGCTGCTGGAGCCATGCCAAAGGATTTCACTTACCAGCAGCGGAAGATATTTCTGCATGATGTGAGGAGATACATCTGGGATGAACCATACCTCTTCTATAGATGTTCAGATGGAGTAATCAGAAGATGCATTCCAGAAGAGGAGCAAAAGAGTGTCTTATGGAACTGTCATGGTTCAGCCTATGGTGGCAACTTTGCAGGTGAGAGAACAACAGCCAAGGTTTTGATGAGTGGTTTTTACTAGCCCACATTGTACAAGGATGCCAGAAAGTATGTGGAAGCATGTGACAACTGCCAGAGAACTGGGAACATCTCCAGGAGACATGAGATGCCTTTGAATAATATACTGGAGGTGGAGATCTTTGATGTCTGAGGTATGGATTTCATGGGACCTTTTCCCTCTTCCTACTCTAACAAGTATATCCTGGTGGCAGTTGATTATGTGTCGAAGTGGGTTGAAGCCATAGCCACACAAACAAATGATGCTCGGGTTGTGATAGCATTCCTAAAGAAGAACATATTTGTGAGATTTGGAGTTCCAAGAGCCATAATAAGTGTAACATCCCGCAAAATTAGGAAATTACGTAACTTACAATTAGGAATGTGAAACATGCTTGAAATTCGAATTAAAATTATGTTTATAGCAGAATTAATTTAAGAAGGAAAATTATTTTATGATGATAAGATAAGTTAAAATATGTGCATATTTTAAAAGAGTCAAGACACTAGTTAGAGAGGGAAAGTACTACATTTAATTACCATATAGGTAGTAATTTTAATTATTAACTAGTAGGTATATGAAATTAATAACCCACATAAGTAAGAGACCTTGTATAAACTACAATTAGAAATACGGAAGCTTATTTGGATTCGACTTATACATGCATAGCTCAAGTGGAATTATTATGGTGTAGGAAAATTGCATTAATTGAGTCAATGGGTGAAAAATAAAAAAATAATATATATAGGTCTTAAGAATTTGGAACTCTAATTAAAAATATAGGGTTTATAATATTACAATGTGTAAATACTTTAGTTAATAATCTAAGGGGATTATGTTTAGCCTTAATACTTTAGGGAGCCTCACACCTTATCCCAAATAAATCCACAAGGCTGCCCTACATGGGTTGGGTATTAACACTTGGCAAAACCTCACCCACCCTAATTTATTTGTTATGCGCATAGGATGAAAGAGTAAAATAGAAATTCTGATTCTTTTGCTTGTGATCTAGAACAAACCCAAGTCAGCTTTATTAAGCATTTAGCCTATTGGGAGAGAGAAGGCAGCATGCATGAAACACCATTGGGCGAAAACCTCATTCTCATTATCCTTGGTTTCCTTTTTATGCGCATGGTGAGTGTGGGCCTTGGAAAAGCTTTGGTCCCTGTTAGTATTCAATCAGCATCACAAAACCTTATCTTCCATTCTTCCTTAGGCACTGTTGGGTGAGCCTCCAAGTAGGAGGTGTGCCTATTGAATCTGAAACAAATATGAATGCTGGTCGGTTGGGTAAAAATGTATCATACCATTTCTGTTCAGAAATAACCAGTAACCACCTCACTCAATTGTCTTCACGCCGTGAGTTCCTTAGAAGAATAATCAGATTACGCATGTCTTTGAACCAGAATTCGGAGTAGTTTATGTGATTATTCCCCACTTTCCCTTCAAGCGGTAAACTCAAAGGAGATGAGCCAAACAGCAGCGCTTATTTTCTTTCATCTACCTCCTTGTTTGACCAAACAACAAGCAGTAAGCTTGCATGTGTTAAACTCTTTCATCTATCCACTAAACCGTCAACCTATAAGAGGGGAAATCATAATCCAAGCCTCCATCTTCTTTCTTCAAGGGTACAGCCGCCTGAAGCAAACAGGGAGATTGCTCATGAGCTCTTCCTCCAGCCCTTTCTTTTTGCGCGGCTGAAGGGTAATCCTATGGAGCTGGAGTAATTTCTGATGTCTTTCGTTCCTCCTCCCTCAATCGGTTCTGGTCAAGCTTATTTCTTTTTTTTGCATGCTTATATGGGGTCTCTTCTTCCATGGCATGTCATTGAACTCAGTTCTTGGAGCAGGAGAAAAAGGAGAAAGCGCAATTGGAGTCACTGCTCTTCATGGCCGTTTTGTACAAACTAGGTCTCTTATAAGTATAGGTGAGTCAAGCAAATAACCTCCCCTAATTCTTATTTGTTCGGCCTCTTACGCTGGTTGGGGAACACCTTATTATAGCTAATTAACTCCCATTAAACTCTGCCTCATTAGAACGGCCATGTAAACTTTAATGGAATTTTTATGAAACGTCTAAGAATTTATTGCTTGTGGGCCAAAGCTGAATGTTGTGAAATTGGGAATTGCTTCTGTAACTTGATGGACATTCGGTTATGCTTAAGAGCTGAAACAAGATGGTAAATAAATTGCTAGACATTTTGTTAGGCTTAAAAGAAAAATAGAACTGAAAAACTGAACCAGTATATGGAATAGGCCTTGGGATTTTTGCTGTTATGCGTGGTAAATTAATGTGAAGTTAGAAATTTGCTTAATGTAAGACTTATGGTAATCAGTTTAAAATTTAAAAGGTACTCGAAGCATATTTGTGCCGCTAGCTTTATTTTTTTTTGTAATTCCTATTCTTTGTTCATGCCATTTTGGACGACCGTTGAACCTAGTACTTTTGAGCACAAATTCACGATTTGGGAACTTGGAGGATAGTTCTTGTAATATTATGCGACTGCTTTGGTGGACCATATTGTGTACCAAGCTTCACTTGAAATTGAATCAAATTGTCAGCATGCTTTAGACCCCTAATGTGCGCACCTTAGAGAGTAATATGGACATTTGCAAAATTAAAAATCGTGGGTCCATTTTTATGGTGTTAAAACCTTACGATCCTTTCGCGGTACACGTTGACAGATTAATGGGAAGACGGAAAACTAATTTTATGAGAACCATGGAAAAACCGTATATATATATATATATGTGTGTGTGGATTAGGGGACATAGAAATTAATTGTGAATGGTAGGAATCAAAGTTTGAAATTCTGTTTTGATTGTGCTTGTTTAGGTGCGCAAGGTCCCGAATAATTGGACTATTTGATGAAAATTGGAATGCTTGATTGAAAAGCTAAAGTGTCGAGGCATGTGATTGGTGGTGAGACCTACTGTGACTATTAGCTAGAGTATGAAATTTTGAACTGATGCTCACATGTGCCTTATGCTTCGTATTCTGTCATATGTTATATGAAATCTGCCTTTGGACTTGTCTTGATGGGAAATTATGTTTATGGAAGTATTTGTGATACGGCAGCTTGGTATTAAATATACAAGAGGTATATGTTATATGATTATGATCTAGTCATGCATATGCACATCATGTTTCACCTGTGTCTGTTTGTGTGTGTGTCAAGCATGTCATAGCATACGGCATTATGCATTCATCTTGGAGACTGAAATATATAATAAAACTATGCATACGTTTGAGCACACATCATGTAGGCATCCCTGCGGTACCAAGGTATGGGACACTTGGCTTCAGTCCGCTTAGATTACAGTTGGAACCCTCTGAGGAGCCATTAAGGGAGGGACCTCCATTGTACTTGTTAAGTACGGGCACGACGATGCTGTAAACGTACTCTTGGCGTTATATACACATCTTGTTTAGTATCTTGGCGTTATATACGCAACATGATTAGTACCTTGGCGTTATTACGCACCTTGATTATATGTTAGCCTCTGTTCGGAATTATATGTTGATGCGACTGTTTTGGAATTTTGTACCTAGTTTAATAGTGGCAGTATTGGTTTTACTATCACACTACTGGGATTTTTCTCACCCCTTTGGGGCTGCTATTTTTATAAAATGGCAGGAGGACGTAAAAGCATTTGAAGACGTGGTTATATGGATATCTACTGTAATTGCTGTTGTTTGAACTTGCTGCTGTTACTGTCTTATGTGGTGGATGACTGTATTTTTATTTAACATACTGGAAATTTGGATTACTGTTGACACTATGATTTTACTGTTGTGTTAAGAATTTTATGACCAGCAAGTATTTTGGAAAATTTCTAAAAACGTTTTGTGAAAAAAAATTCTGACGTTTTAATTTAAGTGCTGACTTTCAAACAGCTTTGCGAGCACTTTGCGAGTTCTGTTTCGAGGGGAAAACTACCTCCGATTTATTAATATTTTATATGCACGCGAAGCCCCACGTGTCTAGTTTTTGATTACAAAAACTTTACAATGGAATTTTGAAAAATTGATTTTATACGAATTTTTAAAGACAGTAAGGTCTGCCAGGAAAATAATGTTTTCAGCAACTTAAGAAATTTTGAAAGCATATTCTGATTTGTATAAGGGACTTGATTTCAATTATAAGCTTCAATTAGCAACATCAAAATGATTTTTCAGAAATTAAAATATGACGAAAGAACTCTAATTCCGCTTAGGAAACAACTCTCTTGAAAAAATACAAGGAAGGGTGTTACAATAAGTGATGGGGAACCCATTTTGATAACAGGTTTGTTGAAGCTGTTCTTGCCAAGTATGGAGTGAGGCACAAAATAAGTACTCCGTACCACCCTCAGACTTGTGGTCAGGTTGAGATTTCCAACAGGGAACTTAAAAGAATATTGGAGAAAACTGTTGGGAATACTAGGACTCAATGGTCCAAGAAACTTGATGACACCTTGTGGGCATATAGGACATCATTCAAGACTCCTATTGGAATGTCTCCATTTCAGTTGTTGTTTGGGAAAGCATGCCATTTGCCTGTTAGATTGGAGCATAGAGAATTATGGGCTGTCAAGTTCTTAAACTTTGACTCCAAGGCAGCAGGTGAGAAAAGACTACTGCAATTGGATGAACTGGATGAATTCCGTCTGTCTGCTTATGAGAGTGCCAACCTATACAAGGAGAAGACCAAGTTATGGCATGACAGGAAGATCACACCCAGGGATTTTAAGGTGGGAGATCAAGTGTTGTTATTCAACTCCAGGTTGAAACTTTTTCCAGGGAAGCTGAAGTCCAGATGGTCTGGACCATTTGTAGTTAAGAGCATGAAGCCTTATGGAGCGATGGAGATTTGTGCTTGGGATTCTGACCAGAGTTTTACTATAAATGGTCAGAGATAGAAACTTTATGTAGGATGTGCTGTGGACAGGCAAACTGATTTCAGTTGCCTTGTTAGAGGTAAACTAGATCATACCTGTCAGGATCGCGATGTTAAACACGCGCTGAGTGGGAGGCAACCCACTGTATCAGGTATGTAACATTCATGTTAATACCAATTAAAAAAAAAGAGAAGGGGGAAGAATTTTGAAAACTTTTAAGAAATTTTTTTTTGACAAGTGTTGGGCGCTAAAACTTCCATTATGGACGTTTTAGCGTTCTAAGAGTTGCATCACGATGAAACTCTCTGGCCATGAGCGCTAAAACATTCATACTGACCATTTTAGCGTTCACCTAATGCATCAGTTGCAAGCACTCTGGCCCAGAGCGCTAAAACGTCCTTGGTCACCGTTTTAGCGCGATGCTGCGCACAACGTGTGCACATTTTTCTGGTCCTGGGCGCTAAAACGTTGGTTTTACACGTTTTAGCGCCCCGTCACTTATGCAGATATACACGGTTTCCCTCACTTCTCCCTCACTCTCTTTTAGCAGTCTAGTCAACATATTTTCTTTTCTTCTCACACTTGCGAATTTTTCTGAATTTGCATCTTACATTCCCTTCTTCTCATTACAATCATGGTCTGTATTTCATCTCTTATCTTTTCATCGTTTTGTAATTCTTTTCATTTTTATTTTTATTTTTATAATTTAGGTTCTATATATATTGATTCATGAACAACATCTGTCATTATATGTTTTTCTTTGTTAAATGTATGTGGATATTTGTGGGATGTTGCTGAATGTTTATTGTTTTGGGGATGAGGGAGCTCCCCAATACGTATCCACGATATGCCATATGCACACACACACAAGGTGTTCGAGGAAATTCTTGACCCAGAAAAGCTAGGACGCTAAAACGCTGGTCACCCAACGTTTTAGCGCTCGGCCAGTTTCATATATGTTTAAGGCCAGGACGCTAAAACGTTCAGTGTGACCGTTTTAGCACCCAGGCCCTGCTGCATACATGCTTTTGATTGCTGAGTTTAGCATTGTAGAGGTGTTTACTCACATGATTTTGGATCCAATTCCATCATTACTTCAATTCTAAATCTGGGAATTGGATCCCCTACTTTTCCATGCTATACTGACTTATCTCTTTTGATTTTTCAGGATCATGTCTACACCTCCACCTAAGAAGACCGGAAAGAAGAGGTCTAGGGTGTCTCAAGCATCTGAGCCTACACCACCTCCACTACATATGATGCCCATTTCTGGAAGAGTGCGGAGCATGAGGCCCGTTACACTGCCAAGACCTCTTCCAGGCCATTTGTCCGGGAAAGGAAGTTTATCCTGGACAAGGATGAGTACCCAGAGTTCCAGTCCCAGCTGCAAACTAGGAAATGGGTGACCTTTGGTGATATCCTTGTCGACAGCAGCCCGACCATAGCACGGGAATTCTATGCCAATGCCTACAATGGTGATGAGGGTAGTAAGAGGACTTTTGTTAGTTGGGTGAGAGGCAAGAAAGTCAAATATGATGCCCACACTATTCAGAAGCTTCTGAAGATCCGGCATTGTGATTACCTTCACAACCAATAATTCCAGTTCAAGAAAAATTGGCAGAAAATTGACATTCCACCCAGGAGACGGGACCCAGAATTTGAGACTTGGACCAAAATGGGGGAAGTTGAGCCTATATTGCACACCATAGCCAAGCCCGGTGAAAAATGGGAGACGACCAAGGATAAGGTGAATCCTAAATTGCTTTGGTTGAGGCAGCTGAATGGGAAAGCTAGAGTCTGGTTCCATTTTTAGTCTCAAATGTTATGCCCTCCTCCAACCAAGCGGAGGTAATTCTGATGAGAGTTGTCTTGATTCACACTATTATGACCAAAGGGAAAATGGGCTTCCCATCCTTCTTCAGGACAACATATATGATATGGCTCACTCTGATAGCAGTTCTACTGCTTTGGGTCACTGTTCTCTGATCCAGCTTCTGTGCCAGAAAGCTGGTGTGGATATTACTGATAATGGGGTGCCAGTCAAATTGCACCCAACAATTGATGCCAAGATGATCAAACAACAGTTGAAGATTGGAGGAGATGGACCCACAGGGCTGACACCTCGCAGGAAATCCATGGCTGAGGCAGATTCTGAGCTTGAAAAGAGGATAAGATCAGGGGAGTAGTGGCTGATCAACACTGACATTCGTATGGGGCATTTACGCTGTCGTCTCAAGTTTATGCAAACGAGTCAGCAATCATTTCAGACTCACATGATTAAGATGCTGACCGCTATCTGTGAGGCCCAGGGCTTAGAGACAGCTGCATTCCAGCCTGCTGTTTACCCTCACTCCGACGAGGAGGATGCATTTGAGGTAGCTGTCCGAACCCATTATGACGATCATGCTGATACGAGTGAGACTGCTGATGCTGCTACTTCTGCCCATGCTGCTCAGGCCACTGAGGGAGAGACTCCTGCTGCCCAGACTGCTACTGATGCTACTGATGCTGATGATCTGATTGCTGGTGATGCTTCCGCTATGGATGAAGACCAGGCCGCTGATAATGAGTACAACCCGTTGCTTGCTACTGATCCAGGATCAGATCTTCTCTTCACTGATGAGGAGGAGTCAGAGACTGACTAGTCTCCTGATGTTTTTACGTTTTTTGTTATATGGTTTTATTGTGGTTTACTTTAACTACATTTTGTTATTGGTTTTATTTTGTACATTGGTTAAGAACATTGAGATTCACTGTTTTGATTGATACACATTGCGATAGTATTGATGCTATTGAATGATATATGAATGTGTTTTAGTGATCCACTGCTGTTTAGATTTAAATTAGTTGCTAGGGACAGCAACGTTTAAATCTGGGAATTGGGGGTGTGATTGAATGGCATGCGAACTTCATGGAGATGTCACACGAGTGGATGAGCCAAAACAGGGAAACATCTCAATCTCTTTTCTTTAGTTTTTCTTTGTGAATAAATTTTTAGTGTAGTTTAGATGTTAGTTTAGTTCGGAAGTTGGATTTCAATTTTTTTTATGAAATTCCATGAGGATTTGACTGATCAAAATTTTAGATGATTGATCAAATTAAGGATACAATCTTATGCCTTGCATGTTGAGAAATGAAATAATTGCATGACTCATTCAATGTGTAAGAGTAGAGAGATTAGTTTTGATGCATAGAGAGAAAGTCAAGCATGCACTCTGAACTATGAGGAAATTAAGCCTATACAGAAAAAAAATTTGTTCAAAGAGCACTTCATTGCATGAGTAACTCTAGAACTTGCCATGTTTCTTGCTTGAAATGGTTGATGATGTGTAGGGTAGAGGCATTTCCTTCTTGAACCAGTAAGTCAAATGGCCAACTTTTTAGTTCCCATTGCATGAAACACTTGAGCCTAGCCTGTTGTCTATCAAGCCAAGAACCACATTTATTCCAACCCTTCAGATGAAAAGTTTCAGAGAAGTGATAAGGGACGAAGTGTTCTGTGGGGAGGAAAGTGTTTTTGCAATAAGTGAATGCAAGGTGTTGGAAACATAAGAAAGAAAGAAGGAAAAGAAAGAAAAGGTTGTGAAACACAAAGTGTATGGAAGAGCCAGATGGAAGTATTAAAGACACAAAGTGTCTGAAAGAAAAAGAAAAAAAAATTGTTAAAGACACAAAGTGTCAGTGATGCTCACCGGCAAGTGTACCGATCGTCTCCACAGGGATTGTGAGCGAATATCTTATAAACGTCCTTTCAAGATATAAAACTCAAGTGATTTGAAGAACAATAGAAATCAAAGACAAAGACGTATTTTTGGATTTTAAGATAAGAGAATGATGCAAAATAATTTGGATAAAAATATGAGAGATATTGCAGGTAAGTACACTCGCCCTATGATCCCCTCTTTTTACTACGGATTGATTCACAATGTTCTATTAAAATAAACAACCAAACAATAAAAAGAGATCTAGCCAACCATAGTCATAACTGATCTCGAAAAATAAAACATAAACTAGAAAAGACGAAGAAGAAAAACTAGAAGAAATCTGAATGGATTGGAATTCTGAATTGTCTCCAATGTCTTGGAATGGTGGCGGAACACCCTTTAAATAGGCAACTGGTCAATCAGGTTATAATCTTTGAATTTAATTTCATTAATTTTTCATTTTGATCATAATTCCACAATTCAAGGACAGCATTTATGACGCCCACGCTATCAGCGCAAAATCCGCGATCCGGTCATAATTCCTGAATTTATTCTGATTAATTTTCCATTTTTCATCATAATTCCACAATTCAAGGATTGCATTCATGACGCCCGCACGATCAGCGCCAAATCCGTTCCTTGTTTTTTTTCAAATTTCGAATTTCTTCACCTTTTAACCTAATTTCTGTGCAAAGTCTCCTATTTATAAGCCTCTTTTTCTTCTTCCAAAAATACCCTCGTGGAATCGCGTCAACAGGCTTTTTATAATTTTATAATTTTCACTTCTTTTACCTGTATAAACACAATAAATAGGTGAGAAATATCATTGACGTAGAAAGAATCAATATAATAAGCAAATATGTATTTAATTTGCTCTTTTATGACTCAATCTTATCAATTTTAACTTAGAAAACTACACCTGCCAGAGGCATATCAAATCATTCCCAGATTTAAACGTTGCTGTCCCCAGCAATGTACAAGACTCAATCCAGAAAATATTCAATTATTCCAACATAACATCACACAGACAATCAATAGTTCTTTATGCTAAGCATGACTGAATCAATGCAAAGAACTCCTAGCAATGCCTTCTATTCTCATGAAAATGTCAGAATCTAGCTTGAACACCCCTCACCAAGATAAACATATAACGCTCAGCACTCAAGTGTTTGGGGGAGTAACAATCACTCAATCCATCACAGCAATAACACTACCATAAGCTTGATCATATTCTCAAGTTCCTAAAGATGAGGAACATTAACACATGCACAATTGATCAAAAAGACTTCTCATGGATATAATTTGGTCGGGCTTAAG